CACTGTGGGGCGCGTCGGCGGCCGTGAGTGTCTGATTCCTGCTGGGCGCATCGATCCCCGCGGGGCGCGTCGGTAATCAGAGGCTTTTCAAAACGGCCCCACAAAGCAAAACACGCCCCATCTCTTAGGAAAACGTATATTGTGAGCGCGTGTAACTTTTGGGCCCTCAAGAGTGTCCACGACGAGCCTACAACCCCCCAAGATCACCCCGGAGATCCAGAAGAGGGCCCCAAGACATGCCAAGACGGCCCCAAGACGGCCCAAGACGCGCCGAAGACGGCCCATGACGGCCCCCAAAGGGCCCTAGAGCCAGAACTCGAAATTACATTTCCAGCTTTCTGCCCAAACGGGACCCCCCAGACCGCCAGCAGGCCTCCAAGAAGCCCCCAAGAGGCCCAACAGAGGCTCCAAGAGGACCACACAACGGTGCCCAAGAGCCCCCAATGAAGCGTCGCCCAATAACGCCGAGATTGACCGCCGACTGTCCGTGCCCATCTCAGCTCAAGCTTGGCTCACGCTCCGCTCGCATCGGCAATGGCTCGCCCGTGGGAAGCACGCGCCCCATGGGAGCACGACGCGCTGATGCGAGATGTTGATCTGGACGACCCAGTTGCCTTGAGTGAATGTTTAAGTGGTCTCAGTCATGACGACTGCGTGGATATTTTCGCGCAGTATGTGGTTGAACTCAAGCGCGAGAGGGTGCTGTCGGCCAAGCAAGCGTGTGTTCTCTCATGCTGGGCCCACGGCGCAGGTGTAGGCGGTCTGACAGAAAAATTGGCGTTTGCACCTGGCAAGCAAAGCGGTCATTACAGTCGGCACTGGGACGCAGCGCTCAAGGAGGCAGAGGGGGACGAGCACTACTTGAAGACTAAAGTTCCTCTGACACAGAGGTCAGATTTTTCCCGAGTGCTGGCCAATCTACCTGCGGTCCCTCCCCATGTCGGCATAGCCGAGGAGCTTCACACGCGACCAGACATCAAGCAACGATGCAACGACCCAGAGTTTTTGGAGTCGCTGCCCAGGGCGCACCATGACCACCCGACGGTGCAAGCACACGATTCGCCTGACCCTGTGCTTGCGTTATCTATGTATGTTAACGGTGTTCAGTTCTCACGCACAGACTCAATGATTGGATTCTTTTGCTTCAACATCGCTTCGGGGATCAGGTATCTATGCGCCACCCTTCGCAAAAGCGAGTTGTGCTCGTGCGGGTGCAGAGGGTGGTGCAGTGTGTTCCCAATATTGGCAATGCTTCGGTGGCCGATCCTTGCGATGCTTCGTGGGGAACGCCCAAGCTCAATGCCCTGTGGATCAGACTGGGACGACGACCACGAACTAGAGAAATCATTTTCTGGTCAGCGGCTTGGCTGGAAAGGCGCAGTTATATTTATGAAAGCTGATTGGTCCGAGAACGTCACCACCATGGGAATGCCGTCTTGGGCATCTGTTGAGAATTGCTGTCCGCACTGCCATTGCTCCCATCGCGATTGGGACCAATTCCAAGGCCTTTCACCTCATTCTGTTCCCTGGGCAGCGAAAACAATGCAAGAATACGATGATGCATGCACAGCTTGCGAATTCTTCTGGCACGCGCAGACTTCCCGACACTCCGTGGCACATTGGTTTTCGATCGCAGGGGCCGCGGTGGCAGGGGCCGCTGTCTGAGTGACAATTATGGTCGCCTGAATCTCGTAAAAGGGGACCGCCTAGAACCACACTTGAGTATCCAAAACACTATGCAGTTCGACGCGTTGCAAAAACCATTTCGTGTGAAGTTCTGGCGACAATCCAATGAGACGATGTGCAGACATCGAAACCCCTTGCTTTGTGCCGAATGCCACTTGGGTCCGCAGAATATGGTTGTGGACTGGTTGCGCTGCCTCAGCCTCGGACTATTTCTGTATTTCATCCACTTCCTCGCGCATTGGCTGATGTCGGAAAATGTCTTCGAAGTTGCTGGGGCAACCGCTGAGGAGAGACGTAGTGGCACGGTCCAGCGTTTCAAGGCGTTATTGTTCGAGTGGTATTCGTCCGAGGAGAGACGCGGCTGTCCCCGCCATCGGGCTCAGAACATCACAGAAGGCATGTTTGGAGACACCGAAGATGGCTTGGTCTCGCTGCATGGGGCCGAAGGTAACGACATTCTTGTATTTTGCGTGGAAGCTATTTTGCCTCGATGCAGTCGGCTATGTAACTACAGATGGTTCAAGGTTTCGGGGGAATCACTTTGCGCGATGCTTGCACTCATACGGCGCAGCTACGGGGAGTGGGACAGCACCATGGACCAGGATAGCTCCACTGGGCTTGAATCAATCACAACTTGCGGGGGAGGTGGCTCCTATGAGGACGGGGGAGACATGGGCCAGCAGAGGGGGGATGGGAAGTGACGGGGGCAACATGAGGAAGAGGCGTGGGATGAGAGGACGGAGGAGGATACGGAGACGGAGGAGGAGGAGGAGGAGGAGGAGGAGGAGGGAGGAGGAGGAGGATTTGTTTCATCATCGATCCCTTAGGGCATGACCATTCTCCAACATGCTCTAACACAATTTAGAACATGAGCGCATAACGGGAAAGGTGCAAACAAAAAAGGATGAGGTGTAGGTGTAGGTGTGCTTATCGGAACGCTTGTCAGCAGGAACTCGTGGAGTCGTATATCCGGCATTTGCAGATGATGAGGCGCCTTGGCCAGCCGTTCAAGCCTAAACACCACCAGGCTTGTCACCTAGTAGCGAGTTCATTGTATTTTGGTGCTCCAGCCCTTTGGGGCTGTTGGAACGACGAGTCCATCAATCTGCACCTGAAGGCATGCGCGACAGGAACTCATCGCATGACGTGGTACCGCCGCATTCTCTCGACCTCCAGGGTCGCGTTCGGAGATGCCCGCTTGAAGCGGGCGCGAGTGTGCAGATGGAAACGTCATCTCAGATCTTTGTTGTTTCATTCTAAACGCTTCGCGTTGCACCTCGAGCGCCCCCTGGGCGTCTCGGGCGGAGAGTGGGTGGGTGTGGTGTTCCCTGCGGCGTCATTGGGGCCCTTGGGGCGCTTCGAGGCCATCTTGGTTGCCATATTGGAGGCAATCTTGGGCGTCTTGGAAGTCCTTTGGGCCTTTCGGAGGTCCCCATGGAGCCATCTCGGGGCCCGTTGGAACCATCTTGGATGCCTCTTGGGCGCTGTTTGGCCGATCTTGGGGCACTTGTGGCTTAGATTACGAGGCCGAGCATACGCGCGTGCAAACCGCGGTACAACCGGGCGCAGCAATGCAACTTCCAATTCGTAACGTTTCGCGTATCCCCACCAGCCCATCCAGAAACGATCAGCAGGGGAGTTGGTGAATCAGGGGCGGCAGAACGCATTAAGTTGCGCAGCCGTTTTCGAGAACACAAGCATCACGCATAGCTTCCCGCATTTAAATTTAAGATGGAAATCGATGCAGATTACGATGGTGCTTCGATGAGAGATGAATGGTATTTCCATGGTTCGTAATGACTGTTGCACCGACTCGTATCTTAAACTCGCGTGCGTTCCGAAACTTGGAGGCATCTTGGGGCCCTCTTGGGATTCTCTTGGGCCCCTCTTGGGGCCTCCTGGGGCTCTTTCTTGGGGCTCTCCTGAGGTCCTCTGAGGGCCTTCTTGGGGCTCTTTTTTTGGGCGTTTTGGGACCCTCTTGGGGCTCTTTTGGGGGGTCAGGGGGCCTTCTTGGGGCTCTTGGGAGTGGTCTGGGAGGCCTCTTGGTGCCATCTTAGGCCGCATTGATCAACAGGAGGGGCGGCGTTAATTCTTGCCCCCCCCCCCCCCCCCCTCGGAGGCTCAAAAATGCCGTCTTGGGGCCATCTTGGCCCGCTCTTGGAGCGCTCTTGGGCGCTTTTGGGGCCGTCTTGCGGTTCTCTTGGGCCCCTCTTGGGGCTGTTTTGGGCAATCTCGGGGCCGCCTTGAGGCCTCAAGAGCCCGTCGGAGGCGAAAAAGCGAGAAGGCAAACACACATTGATGTCCCTTAGGTTGTTGAAGGATTTGGGCCTTGGAGGCCTCGGAGGGCACACTTGAAACCGTCTTGGGGCCGTCTGGAGGCCTCTTGGACGCGTGTCGGAGGCTATCTTGACCCGTCGACCGCTATCTTGGGCCATCTCGGAGGCAATCTTGGAGTCTCTGGGGCCCTCCTGGAGCGATCTTGGGCCAGGAAAGACGCTCTGAAACACCCCCCCCCGCCCAGACGCAGGGGGGGGGGGGGGGGGGGTAAACCTCCCGAACAAGGAAAAGGAGGAGGTTGGAAAAAGGAAACGCGCTAGACCACCTGCGCCCAGAGGGCTGGTGGGATTCGCTGTCTGTGGGCACCGCAAGACCTGCGAGCGCAAACTGTTTGTGAGCACAGGCCGTTGGGGAGCAAAGCGGCTTTGCGAATGGCATGCTGACTGTGAGCGGGCGCCGCGGCGCGCGCGAACGCCCCCCCCCCCCCCCGCCAGTAAACCGCCGCCCACGGACAAATGGGCGAAACGAAGCGCGACAACCCGTCATGCGCCGAACACGCAAGCGAGAGACAGCACCATAGCAACATCAAGTGACACCGTGTCGTCCGCAGAAGGCACAAGCAACATGTGGACGATGGGTGGGCAGAGGGATAGGGGGAAGCCTTGAATGGCGTTCCCTCCGCTGTCGCTCAAGCGGGCGCTGCGCTCTCTGATGACCCATCTTTCTGCGCTGGATGCTTCGCTGCGCGATTGTAAGCCTGCGCATGGCGCGCGGGGCATCTCGCGCGCTGTGTGTGTGTGTGTGTGCGGCTTCCGCCCAGCGCTGATTACGCTCGCTCGTTCGGCGAACGTAGCCAGCGCGCGGGGAACGAAACCTTTTCGCGCGCTCGCGCGCTCCATTTCGCCCACCGAAATCACGCGCCAGCACGAAAACATGATGTTGCGCGACGTCGGCTCATTTTGAAAATGAGCCTTTGCGCAAAGCTCATTTTTTGAGCTTGGAGGACCTCGGGGCTTGGCGATCCTCAGCCTGAGCTTCTAGTCGTCCTCGTCCAACACGTAGTTCAGCACCCTCAGCGGCATGGTGTCGTTCACGCTGATGTTGTCGCCCTGCGCCACCTTCTGCCCCAAGGCGCCGAGCAGGTGCTTCAGCGCCTTCGCCCCGGTGAACGTCGCAGTCATGCCGTTCGCGTCGTTCGTGACCTCCTTGTGGTACAGATGGCTGATACGCTCGAGGGCCTCTCGCTTCTTGGCGGCGTCGGCGACGTTCACGGTCTCCGGCGCGACGCGCTCGTCCTTCACGCACTGCTGGATAGCATCGATGATCGTCTTCACCTCGGACTTCGGCGCCCTCCCACAGAAGCCAGCCACGCGGCTCTCGTGGAAATCCCGTAGGGAGGCGAGGATGGCCAGGGCGTCGTTCGGGCAGCCCGGGCGCGGGAGCTTCGTTTTCGTGATGAGCCACATGGGGTCGGCGCCGGCCTGCCCCGCAAACTTGCGCAACGGCGCCGCGTCGCGCATCCCACTCGGGTCGCGGGTGAGCCACTGGCTGCTCCGAGACAGGAGGAACCGGGCGACGGCTGCCCCGTCCAGCGTCGGCGACGGGCTCTCCGCGAGCTCGTTCACGATGCCGCGCGACGTGTTGCACCCAGCGAGCTCGGTCTCGCCCGCGGTGGAGCCGTCGCCCTCGCCCCCGCGCGACGAGGCTGGCCTCGAGCCACAGCGCCACCAAGCCCTTGCCCCAGCTGCGGTTCTTCTTCCCGCAGTGGAGCGCCAACTCCACCTCATGCCCGAAAGTCGTCGCGGCCATCTGGATGTCCTGGCCCGCGAGCGCCAGGTCCACCTCGCGCTCCGGGACCCCCCCCCAAGAAAGCGCTCACGCGATTTGCCTCCGTCCAGATTTGTGTGTCTCAGCGAAGAACCCTGCCGACGCACGCTCGCCAGAGGCCCCCAGGGATCTCGGATCAAACGCGGCCGTCCCCGGGCGTTTCCGGGGATGCCCGGGTCAGTCCAAAGACGTCCAGGTACCTCTGGCAGATGCCTCGCCAGACCTCCGTAGACCTCCGGAGACCCCAGCGAGACAATCCGGCGCGACCTCCGGAGGTCTCCGGAGATCTCCGGAGACCTCCGGAAACCTCCGGAAGCTTCCACAGACCTGAGGAGACCTCCGAAGACCTCCTGCAGAAACCTCGAGCCCGGCACGACCTCCAGAGACCCCAGCCAGAACGTCGGGCAGACCTCCAGCACGACCCCCCGACCTCCGCTGACCTCCGGAGACCTCTGGAGACCCCCGGATTGCGCGGTTTTCAAAGCCCGGGGCGCCAGGGAAGGGGTCGAGATGTCCGCGGCCAGGCGACTCGAAAAAAGGACCCGCGGCGGGCCTGGCGGCCTAGGGTGTTTGGCCGACGGTTCGCGCACGGGGGCGGCGCGGGGGGGCGGCGAGGCCCCGGAGGGGGGGGAGGGGGGCTGAAAACAAAAATCAAAGGTACAAGCATGGGAAATCTCGGTTTCGGTCGGAAGAGAAAACACCGTAACAGTGGGGGGAGGGCGAAGACCAGGAGGATGCCCTGCGAACGACGGGTTCTGCGCAGGTGACACAGGGCGCCCCCTGCAGGCGCGCCTCCTGCGCCCTGTCCACGACCGCCTTCGTGGCGCGGTGGCCGTCCCAGGTCTTCACCTCCTGCCTCGCGAACGCCGAGAGGTGTGCGACGACGACGTCGTTCTTCGTGGCCTTGAAACTCTGCTCTGCCGTCTTGCACTGGCTGGAAAGCAAAACCACGTGCCCGATATGCCTGGCCATGTCCGTCTGCTCGTCGATGATCGCCCACGCCATGCCCATGTTCATAAGCAGGCCAAGGCGAGAGCCCTCCGCCTGGAAGAAGCTCCGGAGGCCGCACTTGTCGCGCTTCGACATGCCGAGCAGCTGCAGGATAACCACATCGAAGATGTCCATCATGTCAATGAAGCTCTCCAAGTACTGAGTGGTCCCGAGCCCCGCCCGGTTCACCAAATCCATCACCTTCAGCATAGCCCCCTTGTCCAGGGTCACCATCAGCGGGGCCAAGCCCCTCGCGAACTTGGCGAGCTCCGCGAGAGTCGCCGGGCTCACGGTCTGCACCGTGTCGAACCACGTGAACAGCACGTTGGAGTTCCTCGTGCCCGTCGACGCTCCGTACGACTCGATGCCCTTCAAGAGCTCCAGATCCACGGTAGCCTCTGGGTGAACACGAGGGGCGAGCACGCCGCCGCCCCGCGGGGGCGGCGCCGCAAAGGGCCCCCCCCAGGCCGCCGGCCCGCCGCCCGCCCCCCCCCCCCTGAACACCCAAAGACACGGAGCAGCGCCCGGAGCTGGACGACTGGACTCGCGCAGCCCTGGCCGGGCAGCCTGCGGCCCAGCGCCCTCGATCTTCTCCGGGTTCAGGTACAAGCTCTTCAAGGTGGGCCAGCGCCCCGGCCCGTGCTTCTTCTTCCCCTCGCTTTCCCGTTGCGCCCAATCGTCGCGCACCTCCGCGCGGCCGGTAGACTGGCCCGATCTCCCTCGGCCGCGCCCGGCCCTGGCTCCGCCGCGGCCCCCGGCGGCGGGGGCGCGGGCGGGGCCGCGGCCCAGGAAGACGGGGCGCAGTCTGGGGGGGACCGGCACGGGCAAGGGCAAGATCGGGGCGAGAGTGAGACGGAGGCAGAGAGGGGGACACGGGCATGCCGCGCGGCCCCAAGGGCGAACGCCTCTCGACCCGCTGCCCACCGCCAGTTTGATACCCCCTGGGGTAAAAGACTACGCGCAAGTTCTTGCCCTGCCGCGCGACCCCGTAGAGCACGTCGTCCTCCATCTTGCCAGAGTGGGCCTTGGTCGCGGCGAGCTTGCCGGCGTCGCCAGCGTTCCTCCCGACCTGGATGAGAGCGCCGTAGATTCCTCGCCGTGCCGACACGGCAGAAAAAGGAGCCATCGGCTCTCTGGGAGGTCGGTGTAAAGAACATGGCCTATCGAAGCTATCGATGTCAAGACTAACTATCGAGGTTCATCGAAGTCAAAGCTGATGAAGTCTCTTGACAAAGCGATCGAAGCCGTGTGCGGCTGGTTCGTCCACTAAACTGGCGCGGAAAACTGCAAAAACCAGAGTGTCCTGTGCTGACGAACTTGCTAAATCAAGATGGCTGGCTCGTCGGGTGCTGGGGCCTCCTCCAGAAGGCGGCGATCTGGCTCGCACAACCTCCAACCGCGCCTCGTCACGGAGAAATCGAATGACTAGAACATACTGGATGACGGTGTGAACCCAGACGGACGGCGGCGCCTGACGCTAAAGGTCTTCCAGCCGTCGACGAAGAGGTAGTCGAAGTACGACTGCACATTGAAGTACTCCACGACTATCGGTGCTGCGTTCGCCGCGTTGATCTCGATCGTGCAAGCCTGGCTGTTGCTGTAGTACTGAGGATAGTTCGGGCTCTGCGCACAAGCGCCGTCCAACGTGCACGGTCCTGAGATGGCCCCCGCATGCTCCCAGAACCGGGCGTCGGCGCAGCGATTGGCGAAAGAGTGGGCGCAAGAGTCGGCGCAGCTGTCGGTGCGGGAGTCGGCGCAGAGGTCGGTGCAGGCGTTGGTGCTGTTGTCGGAGGGGGTGCAGGTGTTGACACTGGTACGCAAAATTGCCATCCACTCCTCGTAACGCTGAAACCGGACGACCACACGGTACTGGATGACGGTGTGAACACAGACGGACCCGAACTTCCACTAAAGTATTTCCATCCGTCGATAACGATGTAGTCGAAATACCACTCTACATTGAAAGCCTCCACCACGATCGGTGCTGCGTTCTCCGCGTCGATCTCAATCGTGCATGCCTCGTTGTTATTATAAGCCTGCGGATAGTTCGCGCTCTGCACACAGGCGCCGTCCAACGTGCACGGGCCCGAACTGGCCGCCCACATGTGCACAGAACCAGGCGTCGGCGCAGCGGTCGGCGAAGAAGTCGGCGCAAGAGTCGGCGCAGCCGTTGGTGCAGCCGTTGGGGAAGCGGTCGGTGCCTCCGTCGGTACAGTCGTCGGTGATGCTGTCGGGGAAGCGGTCGGTGCTGCTGTCGGCCCGGCTGTCGGTGCAGTTGATGGGGAAGCGGTCGGCGCCGCTTTCGGTGCTGCAGTCGGCGCGGCTGTCGGTTCAACTGTTGGGGAAGCGGTCGGTACTTCCGTGGGTACTGCAGTCGATCTAGGGATACTGCAGGTATTTCTCGGTAGCGTCTGGTGGGATATCTTCAAATCAACTGGACGGGTTCAATCCCGCCCCCAGTCATATATCGCAGATCTCTTAAATCTGCTCAACTGGGTTTCCAGAGAGGTTGGTTTAGAGAGCCCCCCTATCAACACTTGAACGTTGAAAATGATCAGAAATGATGCCAAACCTCCAAAGTTAAAATTGAAAGCTGCAGAGTGTCGCTACATGCTCCCCGTGACAATCAAAGTGGCCGAACTCTTCGGCACCAACAATCCTCACGAACGGACCCGAATGGCTTACCTCCAACAGTTGCATACTGTGTACAATGAGCTGGTGGCCTGGGGCCCAGGTAGCGGGCCTAAGATCGCGAAAGCAGCCCGCAAGCATTGCATCCTATATGCCCAATTGCGTCTTCTGCCTGCCGTGGGGCGGTGTTTTTTGGTTTACCGCATCTACCTAAAACACCATCAATGTTTGAATGTGTGCGAGCACCAAATTGCCGTGTGTGTGTGTGTGGGAACCCCGCAGATCAGTGGTGCTATATGGACGAGCATCAGATAGGGATGGCTGTGCGAGAAACGCATGGCATGCACCCGAAGACGGTGCAGCATAGGTTAATGGAGAAGTAACGTCTCCTCGAATTCGCTTGACCTGGTAAGGTGAGCGCTGGACGATGTGAATGAGGATGAGTGGAGAGAGAAGGGCGAGGAGGAGGGAAGGGAAAGGAATAATGGAACGAGGGGGGAAGCACGGGCAGACAGGAATGTGATGAATTCTAGACCCGCTCGGCGGAATGGCGAAGCCTTTTTGAAGTGGGGATTGCGCATCTAGTTGTAAGCAACTAGGTGCCAGATAGCACTTTTGATCGAAAACTTGTCCCCTCGTATCTTAGCCATCTCCCCTCCCCTGCCTTCCGCCCTCTCCCTCTCTCGCCCTCCTTACCCCTCCTTCACTTCCCCTTCCTCTCCATCCCTTCCCTCCTCTGGAAAAAAAACCCAAACCTAACGCACCAATCATGTCTGAGCCAGAAATGTAACTCCAACAACTCCCGCACTGGTGCGCCTGCCCTGTAAGCTCAAAGAATCAGAACATGCCCACATACGAGGCTACAAGCAAGCCGGCAACCGAGCAAGCATCCGAGCTTGCACCCGAGCCGGAAACCACGCTGACAACCCCGCTGGCACCCGAGCTGGCACAAGATCAGAACATGCCGACATCCGAGCTGGCACCCGAGCGGGCGCCCGATGGGTCCGAGGAGGAGTCAGATAAGGATAGCGCGTGGAGCCTAGCGTCCGACAAGCTTGACCCGATTCTGGAACGAGCACAGAACGAGGAACACCAGGCCGACACAACCGACGAATCCGAGCTGTCTCAGGAGATCGGCCCTGATAAACGGATTGCTCGCGCAGGGTACTCACGTAGCCCAGAAAGCGTTGCGCGACATCGACTTAAAATGGATCGAGGACATCGGAAGCCGAAAGCCGAGGAAAAGGAGGAGGAGGAGAAGGATAAGGAGGAGGAGGAGGATAAAGATAGGGAGAAGGAACGGTGGAGGAGACGCAGCAAGGGGAGGCAGAGACCGACCCCCAAGACACACAAACACACACACACATACACAAGGCGGAGGCCATCATGCGTGGGGCCCAAATGCAGGTGGCCCCCCAGCTAACCCCTGCTAGAGCGCGCCAGTTTTTCTTTGAAGCCCGATTCACCTGACGCTCGCCTTGGAGGGGCTCAGTTTCTTGTCATGTTCCTCTCTTCCCTTCCCTTTCCTCCTCCTCCTCCTTCTCATCCTCCTCCTCCTCCTCCTTATCCTCCTCCTCCTCCTCCTGCTCCTTCTGCTCCTCCTCTCCTTATCCTGCTCCTCCTCTCCTGCCCCCGCGTTCCCAATCTTCCGAGTCATCATCCCTCCAATCCTCAGTGCGTCCTCGACTAATTCATTTTTCTTTGTTCCTCTCGATCCCCTTCCTCCTCCTCCTCCTCGTCATATTTTGTCGCTCACCATTATACCTCCTCTCCCTCCTTATATGTATCATCCTTCTTCTCATCTTCCTCCGCCTCCTCTTCTTCTTTCTTTCCTCACCCTCCTCCTCACCCTCCTCCTCCTCCTCCTCCTCCTCCTCCTCCTCCTCCTCCTCCTCCTCCTCCTGTGTGTTGCGCTTGGGCAAGCGCTCGGCACCAGACAATTGACGACGTCCGCTCTGGCCGGGAGAAGGGCGCACGACCACCGTTAGCGGTTTCGCCGTCGGCTGCGAGCCTTTTGCAAAGATCTGCGCTACGCGCATTTCACTTTGGACCGACATATTCATTGCGCTACGCGCACAGCAACCTGGATACACATATTCATTGCGCTACGCGCGCGGCACCCTGGATATACCTATTCATTGCACTACGCGCACGGCACTCTGGATAGGCCGCTGCCCTCCGCCAGTCGCCCAATGGCGTTTCGCCCCCACGCCAGCAGACTGGCTCACCAAACTCTAAGCTGACCAGCTCGGGCGGGCGGCCCCGCCCGTTCTCACCCTCCCATAGCATAACAGGTATCGTTGGCACAACGGGGGGTTGGACTCATGGGCGCGCAAGTGCGCCCACGCGCCAAGCCAAGGAAAACGCGCGGCACTCCGGAACGGCCGTTGCTCGCCCCACTCCCGCAGACTGGCTTACCCAACTCGACCGAGTCACGCGGCGCCGCTCGTCCCCACCCGTCCTCCCATAACGCGAAACATTCGGTTGTTGACTCGCGGGCACGCGTTTCCAAACGCTAGCGCGCGACACTCTGGAAATGCCGTTGCCCTCCCGCAGACTGGCTCTACCAAGTGCGAGCTAGCCACCTCGAGCGGGTCGGGCGGCCCCGCCCACACCCTCGCGCGTTTCCAAACGCCGGACGAAGGGAAGCGCGCGGAACTCTGCGCGCCCACAGCTTGCGCCCACAACTTGCCCCGGTGACTGGCTCAAGTAAGTGCGCGCTGATCACTTCGAGCGAAACAGGAGGCCCCGCCCGCGCCCACCTCCTCTCCCATAACCTGACGACACATGCTGGCACAACTGGATGTCGAGACAAAAAAGACGCGCGCTTCCAGGCGCCAAGCGAAAGGAACGCGCTCGCCGCTGCGAGCGCGCAGCTCGCACGCGCTCCACGAACGTTATTATCTGATGCCCGGGACCCGCCCGCGACTTGTCCCGCGATTCGCCGCGCGACCGTATGTTCGATTTGCCTCCCGACCGTGCGCATCTGCGAACACGCGCGACAGTCGTAACGTAGCACGCGCGCGGGTGGAGGTGCCAAAGCAGCTGTAAAGTGCCGTAATCAACGAAGCACGCAGGGGCTGTCGAACGACACAACGCCCAGCATGGGATTGCCGTAAATGAGCGCTGCGTGAAATAAGCACCAGGTTATTCAAATAAGCATCTCCACGCGCTGGCATTAAAAACAACTCGGTGCTACTTACGAATGCAACCACTAACTTCTAAGCTCTTTCGGCCCCCTGGGGAGCCATAGGGCCACGGAAAAAGAGAGATACCCCATGCTTGGAAGGGCCAAGTGCGGGAGGCTGAGACGCATGCACCACGGGACCCCGAAGATATGTGTGTATGTGCATGTGTATATGTTGTGTATATGTACACATATACACCGATAGGACCGCCCTACGGGTGATAAGGTGCTTGGGGGGGAAGGGGGAGGCGGTCGATGTGCGATGACTCCAACCTGCCGCCACCAAAGAGTGCGCGGGCAAGTAAATACAACCTACTTCGGCTTGCTTCTATCTAGCTAATCGATCTAGATTTCATGCTTCTATTTATCCATCAGTAGATTTATCTGACTGTCTATCGAGTCGACACATTAATCAGTCGACCGTCTGTCTATCTAACAACCAATCTATACATCTATTCATCTTTCTATCGAGTCGATCCATCAACCAATCTAGCTACCTACCTATCGAAATAACCATCGGGGCAACCTACAGTTCATATCCCCCAGTAGTGGTGATGGTATGATGAGGTGGAGGGCCGAATATTCAGTCTCTCTATCGTTCTATCGACCTATCTGTATATACATATCTGTATACACATATATATATATACACGTATACCAATACCTATGTATATATACTTTCCTATCTACCTATCGAACATTCTATCGGGTAAACCGGTGAGACAACCATCGGGACAACCGTCGGGACAACCATCGGGACAACCATCGGGGCAACCATCGGGACAACCATCGGGACAACCATCGGGAACACCATCGGGACAACCATCGGGACAACCATCGGGATAACCATCGGGACAACCATCGGGACAACCATCGGGACAACCATCGGGATAACCATCGGGATAACCATCGGGACAACCATCGAACACCCATCGGGACATCTATCGGGACAACCACCGGGACAACCATCGGGACAATCGTCGGGCCACCCATCGGGACAACCGTCGGTACAACCATCGGGAACACCATCGGGACAACCATCGGGAAAACCATCGGGACAACCGTCGGGACGACACCATCGAGTCAACCATCGGGACAACCAGCGGGACGATCGTCGGGACAACCATCGGGACAACCATCGGGGCAACCATCGGAACCACCATCGGGGCAACCGTCGGGACAACCATCGGGAACACCATCGGGACAACCATCGGGACAACCATCGGGACAACCATCGGGGCAACCATCGGGACAACCATCGGGAACACCATCGGGACAACCATCGGGACAACCATCGGGACAACCATCGGGATAACCGTCGGGACAACCATCGAACACCCATCGGGACACCCATCGGGACAACCATCTGGACAACCATCGGGACAACCATCGGGACAACACCATCGGAACCACCATCGGGACAACCGTCGGGACAACCAACGGGCAACCATCGGGACAACCGTCGGGACAACCATCGGGACAACCATCGGGACAACCATCGGGGCAACCATCGGGACAACCATCGGGACAATCATCGGGACAGCAACCATCGGGCACACCATCGGGTCAACCATCGGGGCAACAGTCGGAACAACCATTGGGACAGCAATCGGGGCAACCATCGGGACAACCATCGGGACAACCACCGGGACAAACATTGGGTCAACCATCGGGACGACCATCGGGACAACCATCGGGACAACCGTCGGGACAACCATCGAACACCCATCGGGACACCCATCGGGACAACCATCTGGACAACCATCGGGACAACCATCGGGACAACACCATCGGAACCACCATCGGGACAACCGTCGGGACAACCAAGGGGCAACCATCGGGACAACCGTCGGGTCAACCATCGGGACAACCATCGGGACAACCATCGGGACAACCATCGGGACAATCATCGGGACAACCACCATCGGGCACACCATCGGGTCAACCATCGGGGCAACAGTCGGAACAACCATTGGGACAGCAATCGGGGCAACCATCGGGACAATTATCGGGACAACCACCGGGACAACCATTGGGACAACCATCGGGACGACCATCGGGACAACCATCGGGGTACACAATCGGGCACACCATCGGGACAACCCTTGGGACAACCATCGGGACAACCATCGGGACAACCACGGGACAAACGCGGGACAACCACGGGACAACCGCGGGACAACCCTGGGACACGCGCCCGCCCAGGGGGGGGGGGGGGGGGGCGGCGGCCCTTTGGGGTCCATGTGGCCTCTACCAATGCAGGAACTCGCGCGACTTCGCCTCGCCCGCACGCACGACACGAACCGAAACCGAAACCGCTTTCTCGGTTGGGGCCACTTCCGTCCACACCCCCAACCTCGGGACACCATCGGGACAACCATGGGGACACCCATCGGGACAGCTATCGGGAGAACCATCGGGACAACCATCGTGACAACCATCATTAGGACAGCCATCGGGACATCCCGCGGGACAACCATCGGGGGCCGCGCTTGGCCGGGGGGGGGGGGCGGGTGGGGCGGGCGACCTTTAGGGCTCCATGTGGCCTCTACAACTGCAGGAGCTCGCGCAGCTTCGCCTCGCCCGCACGTGTGACACAAACAAAGCCGAAACCGATTTCCCGGTTGGGGCCACTTCCGTTCACACCCCCCAACCTCCGATACACACCTGCTCTACTTCCTACCTCTAGGGAGAAGGAGGAGCAGCAGCAGGAAGAGGAGGAATAGGAGCAGGAGCGGTCTGCTCCATGGCCTAGGCCCGCATCTGCTCTACGAGCCCTCCACACCGCAGCTCGCCGTCTATCCCTGCAAAACCTGCCAAAGGTGCCGCGACCTGCGTGAGCTTGCGGCCCTTCTCGTTCCCGGCGGGGTCGTAGTGGCACACGGCCACGCGGCGGCCCTGGTGCAGCGACACAAAAGACAAACTTTCGGAGGTCCGCACGGATTTGGGGGATCGGGGCTGGGACCCCCCCCATAAGCTTGGCGGCGCCTCCCGCGCCACCCCTGGCGCGCTCAGCGAGCCGAAGAAGCGGTGCAGTGTGGGAAGACCAGCGCCAGCCTAAGAGGTCCGCGCGGACCTCCAAAAGTTTAATTCATGTCGTTTCTGGATCTCCGACCTGGGCAATGCTGCAGCCGACGCGGCGTGTGCTCCGCCACACTACCTGCGCAGAAGGCACAATACACCACCACCACCACCACGTCGGGCCAGGTTCATCCTGGGCCTTGGTATGGTGCACGCGCCCCCCTGGCCGAGGCCAGGACGGTCTACACACCACCATGCAGTATACACCATCCTCGGGCCCTGGATAGCCATGGCCGGACACGGTGGTGGGGTGCAAATGCCTTCTGCGGACCACCTGCGTGTAGTGGCCCAAGCCCACCTGGTCTGGCCTCGGCGCGCCGCCGAGTCCGCCGCGCACGCTGCGGATCTCGCCGTGCCACCGGGCCACGACCTGGCCGGGCTCGAGCCACTCTCCGTTGGCCACGTTCTCCCCGTACGGTTGCCCAGACGGCCCATGCCTCGCGCTCTCGGCTAGCGGCGCGCAAGAGAGGGCGGAGCGAGGGGGGCGCACGTCTACGAACGCAGAGGGGCTTCTGAGAAAGGATCGGTGGCTCCAAAACAAAGCTTCTCAGAGGGAGGGAGATGGCTCCCAGGAACCACATGCCTTCTCACTGGGCCGCCCCCCTTCTCGCGCCGCCCCCTTCTGAACGCCGCCGACTCGGGGCTGTGCTGCAGCCGGTTCACGGGAGCCTTCTCGGCCCACCGCTTCGCAGTGGCGAAAGCCCGCGAGTCCCACACCAGCAGCGGGACGCCAGCCATGCAGCGGTAAACGTTGTGCGCCAGCAGGAACTGCTTGGCGAAGCTGGGCTCGTCGTACAGCTCGTGGGCGGGACACAGCGGCGCGGGCACGGCGCTCGCCGAGCGGACTGGCGTCCCGGCGGCCTCCGCCGCCCACCGGTGGAGCTCCTCCTCCTCGAACGAGCCAGCGTACCGGGCGCCGCTGCCCAGCGCCTTCACCACCGGAAGCTTCCACGCGCCGTGCTCTTGGCACAGCGCCTCGTTCGCCGAACCTTGGCAGTCCACTGCGCCCAGCAACGGCGCGGCGCGCCCGGAGGGGGCGGAGACGGCCAGCCTCGCCGCCCCCGCCAGCGCCTCTGCGGCAGCCCGGCAGCGCCTGCAGCCTCGCCCGTAGAAGTGCACCACCCAGCGTGAATACTCGGGGGCGTCTCGGGCTGGGAACCGCCCAGCGCAGAGGGCTTCGACGCCGTCACCGACGAATGGTGGCCCGCCGTCGCACCCAGGGGCCGCTCCTGGCGGAACGAACAGGCACCGATACCACTGCTCTCTTGACCTCTTCCGGGTCGCGTTCTGACCAGGACTGCCAAGTGAATCGGGCCGCGGCGACGAGAGCCCCCCCAGGAAGCCCTGAAAAGCGAAAGCGCGAGACAAATAGCAGCATCCGTTCAAAATCGGACCATGGCCCCTCCCTGGGTCCATCCTGCCCCACATCGATCTGACGGCCCGGGGGCCCCAAAACGGCCCGCCGACCACGGAAAGGACGGACAAGCCTCGATCCTGGCACTTTTGCTCCTCCTCCTCCTCCTCCGAACTCCGCCTTGGCGGGGCGCGCCCGCGCACGGCGGTGGGGAGGGCAGCGCCAGCAGCAACGCTGCTCTGGCGAGCTGACAGGGCCAGCCGCGCCGCCGCATGCGGCCAGCCGCTGTGCTGAGCGGCGAGCCGCCGTGCGCTGCGCCCCGTGGGGCCCGCCGGAGCTGCTTCGGCCCGCGCTGTCGGCCGCTGCGCACTGCGCCCCGAGAGGCCCAGCCACGTGGGCACCGTTACGGCAGCTCCGGCCAGGTCTGGGCCGAAGTGGCCGTGGAGAAGGAGGAAAGGGAGGAGGATGAGGAGGAATAACCATCATCAACCAGGAGGAGGAGGAGGAGGAGGAGGAGGCGGAGGAGGAGGAGGAGGAGGACCAGTGTAAACCCAAAAACCATCAAAGAGGTTGGAATAAACCCTCCCTCCAAGCTCCCTCTTCACAGGCCCCTACAACGGTGTATTTCAATTGGGGGAACTGCCTCGTTGGAAGACAACCTGAAGCATGCCAAAACATTGTTCTTGGGATTCCAACGCCACGGACCAACGTGATTGTTGCATGTTGACGATCCAAAACCGTGCCAGAACGCCATTGCTGGGAATTCAACACAGAAGATCAGCTTAACTGTTGCGCCCGCGTAATCCTGAATCTTTTCAAAATACCATCTCTGGTACGTTGATGATGGGGCTCCGTGAAGCTCTTGCACATGTTGTAATCGAATGTGCGCGGCGCTAAGACAAGAACCACATTTTGACAAGGACCGCCCGCAATCCGTTCATGCAATTGTTTAAAACGAATGTGCGCCGCATTAAGGCGAGCGCCACATTTTGATAACGACCCGCCATCAATCCGTGAAGCTCCTGCAGTTTTTGTTATACGAATGTGCGCCGTGCCAAGGCGAGAGCCACATGTTGAAAACCACCCGCCCTCAATCCGTGAAACTCTTGTATTTGTTTGCCAAATGAATGTGCACCGCGCTAGAGCGAGAACCACATATTGAAAACCAACCGCCCTCAATCCGAGCAACTCTTGCTGGTTTTGTTAAACAAATGTGCGTCGCGCTAGAGCGAGAGCCACATTTTGAAAACCAACCGCCCTCAATCCGTGAAGCTCTTGCTGGGTTTGTTCAACGAATGTGCGCCGCGCTAAAGCGAGAGCCACATCTTGAAAACCACCCGCCCTCCATCTGTGAAGCTGTTGCCAATTTTTAAGCGTCAGAATCACACATGTTGTGGAAGTTTCAGGTGAAACGCCCAGCCCGCCCCAAAAACTGGCCTCGGGGTGCGACAGGGACAAATTATTCGTAAGGAAAGGAATGGAGGAGCAGTCGCACTTAGCAGGGGGAGTAGGGGGTGGGTCCGTTCCAAGGTTCTTGAAGTGCAGCACGGGCAGATGGGCTGCACTGCGCCACTGCGCGGGCACGGGCCCCAAAAATAGGCCCACCGAGCCTGAAATGCATCTTTGGTTTTAGGCGCCCCCCTCAGCATATAATCACGACTGCCTTTTAGGCCCGCCAGCCTATAATCATGATTGCGTTTCAGGCTCACCTGGCTATAATCACGACTGCATGTAAGCCCCCCCGAGGAGCGGCTCTGCCACCCGCGCCTCATCCACTCGCGCCGCTGCGAAGGGCAGCTGGCGCATCCGCCCATGGGTCGCCAGGTCCCAAGACACGCTCGGAATGGAGCGTGGGCATGAGCTCATCGTTGCGCTGACGGCCATTACCATAGCGGGGGAGAAGGAGGACATCAGGGGAGGATAGGGGAGGGAGGAGGAGGGGAGGAGGAGGAGGAGGAGGAGGAGGAGGAGGCGAAAGACACGTGACTTCACGACGTGAGCCCCCGAGCTCTCGACACCATCCCCAGACACGGTTTGAAAGCTCTGGACATCGAACGCGTCCCCCAAGAGGCCGAAACCCTGAGATCCGTCGCTGAGGCCCTACAGCCCAATCAGAGAATGGATGGATTCGGCTTGTGTTCGGGATTTGGTCCTCTGCTAGTCATGGGGCCAGGGAGGCCAGGCGGACAGCGACGACGACGACGACGAGGGCGACGAGGACGAGGGGGAGAAGGAAGAATACGACGACGAGGGGCGGAGGGCCAGCACCCCCATCCGTCCTATCGTCCCAAGCCAAGAGCAAGGGGAGAAGGAAGAAACGCATCAGAGTCACATTGGAGCCATATTGACACTATCTTGGGGTCAACTAGGGTCTAAAGGGGTCAGCTTGGGGCAATCCCGAAGTCGTCTCGGACTCATGGGGTCGTTCTGGGGCCACCTCGGAATAAAATCGGGTTCGCGCGGTAGCCTTGGCTCAGTCGGAAAACAATGGATTCGTCTCGGTGTGATCTTGGGGTCGCAGGGTTGCTCTGGGGTCATACTGGGCCTGCTGCTTCGCAGGGGTGGGCATCTTGGGGCGACAAGGGTACTCTCGTGATCCTTTCAAACAAACCCTGTTGGATCCATCTTGGAATCATCGTGCCGTTGCTGCCTCTCTCGTCGTTGTTGCTACAGATGTTGCTGTTGCTGCTGGCGTTGATGCTGCTGGTGCTGCCTGGGCTGGCCGTTGTGCTGGTGCTGGTGCTGTGCTACATTTCGGGCCCACTTGGGGCCATCTTAGGGCCCTCTTGTGGCCCTCCTGGGCCTCTTAGGGCCCTGCGGGGGCCTTCTGAAGGCCCTTAAGACGCCACCGAGAGGGCCAAGACTCAACGCACGCTGAACACAAACCGCCTCCTTATTGGAGAGTCTTGTGTTAAATTAGTGTTCCATGTTTTTGTCCTCTTGGAGCCATCTTGGGGCCCTCTTGGGGCCCTCCTGGGCCCTCTTGGGCCCCGGCGGGTGCCCTCTGAAGGCCTTCCGAGACCTCCACGCGGGCCAAGAATTCAACACACACACACACACACACATTTAAGACAAACCGCCTCCTTATTGGAGAGCGCCTTGTGTTAAATGTATATTACACTTCGTGCCCTCTTGGAAAACCCAAGGAACGCCCAAGAGAGACCCAAGAAGGCCCCAAGAGAGATTTTTTCTTAGCTTCCACGCGGGGGGGGTCACCATGTATCCGCTGTTTGTACAAATGCTTCCTTTTGCAGGGCTCGGCTTGAGGCTCGGAGGGCCTTCAGGAGGGTTCCAACCTAAGGCATTCAAAGAGTTCGCGTGAGCTTCGAGTGCGATTGCGCTGCTCCAAGACGGCTCCGAGACGGCCCCAGAGCGCTCCAAGACGCTCACGATGGCTTCAAGACGGCCAAAGACACCCTGCAGACGCCTCCTCGGGGCTCCAAGAGGACCCCCTCGAGGGCTCCACGAGGCCAGAACCATAGTTTTTCTTTTGGTTTTCTGGCGGATGTTAGCGTTCTCGCTTTTTCTGGGTTCCAACGCTCCAAGACGGCCCAGGAGGCCGCCAGGATCGCCCCAAGACGGCCTAAGAGGCCACTGAAGAGGACTCCAAGACGACCCAAGATGGCACCGAGACGACCCATGAGGCCCACAATGCGGCCCAAGAGGCCTCCAGGACGGCCCCCAAAGGGGACCCAGGGGGCCACCGGAACTTTTGTGAAGCGGCGTGGGGGCATGCGGAGAGCCTTCGCAAGTAGACGCGGCGCCAGAGTCACCATGTATCCGAACATTGTACGAATTCGCACATGTCTGAGACGATCGCCGAGCCTCTCGGGAGCCCTTTTGATGGCCTCTTGGGGCCTGCTGGGAGTTTCCTGGAGCCTGATAAAGGGGCCTCTTGGGCGCCTCTTGAGGTATGTTGAAATTATTGGCGGCTTCTTAGGGCGTCTTGGGGGGCCCTTTGGGGGCCCCTTGGGGGCCTGCTGGGACCCCAAGAGGGTCCCGAAAAATGTCCCGGTCCGCGGAGATGCTGCAGTCCCATTTCCGGGTGGCCTGGAGGCCTCTCGGAGCCTTCTTGGAGCTCTGTTGGGGGGCTCCAAGACGGCATGGGAGCGCTCAAGGAGCCCCAAGAGGGCCCCGAGAAAACTCCAAGAGCGTCCCGAAAAATCTCCGTGCCACCCGGGGATGCTGCAACACCATCTCCGGGTGACCCGGAGACCTCTCGGGGCCCTCTTGGAGCTTTCTTGGGGGCTCCAAGACGGTGGTGGGGAGGGCGGGAGGGTGGGGGGGATCTCCTGGAGATGCGGACGCGGAGGAGGGGGCGGCTTCTGGTGGCCTGACGGGACCCTCTCGGGCGCCTTTTGAAGTCAGTTGGGGTTTCTTGGGAGCCTCTCAGGGCCTCCTGGGGGTCCTGTGGAACCCTTGAGGCGTCTTGGAAGCTTCTCGGGGTTGTATTGGTACCCTCTCGGGGGCCGAGAAGCGATATTGTTGTTGATGCTGCTGCTGTTGTTGTTGCTGCTGGTGTTGTTGTAGTTGTTGCATGTACAGTTGTAGTTGTAGCTGTAGCTGTAGTTGTTATTGCTGCTGTTGTCGTAGTTGTTGTCGTTTGTTGTAGTTGCTGTTGTTGTTGTTGTTGCTGTTGCTGTTGCTGCTGCTGTTTTTGTCGTTGCTGCTGCTGCTGTTGTTGTGGCTGGTGTTGTTTTTTACTTGTGATATTTTTTGTGTTATTGGTGTTGTTATTGCTGTTGTTGTTGCTGCTGGTATCGTCGTTGTTGTCGTTTGTTGTTGCGAGTCGCTGTCGTGCTATACGCCGTTATTTCAAACGTAGACGCACACGCCATCAAACAAAACACATGTTGCACCACATAGATTGCACCAGACCGATTGTACCAGCTAGGTTGCGCACCATCTCCTCTATTCTCCTTTCTGAAAGACTAATAGATTCTACCCCCCCCCCGGACTTATCGGTTACCCCGCGCGTGCTGTAAATTACATATGATTATGACCACATGTCCATCCTAAATATGAATTCATACTATCCCAGCCAAGCCGGGTTCCCCCCCCCTGCGGGTCCCTTGTAAAAAAACACTATGCGGTGACATTTTTTGTTCTAACATAGCACTTTTTCACGAATCCCTTGCAAACAATTAGACGAAAAGCACACGCGCGCGTCGTCGCGCGCGCATGCCGAAATCCTTCAAAAACCTTCGGTGCCGGAAGGATTTCGCAATCGAGTTTCCGAAAAACATACAAAAACACATGGTTTCGCAACACTGATTTCTAAAAAAACTTCCGCGTGAGGTCTTGCGAAATCTAAAGAAAACCATAGGTTTTCCAAGATTTTCACAAAATGCTACCAAACGGGCTTCGCGCGCGCGCATGTCGAAATCTGTCGAACGCCCTTGCGCGTATGGCGTCGCGAGAATCCTCTGCAAAAAATGG